CACACACACACACACACACACACACACACACACACACATCACTGGCTGCAGGCACACAACACCTAGAAGTACAGATCAAACACTGGGTGCTGTCTCTCAGGAGGAAACACAGCCAGCAGATAAACTAAGCTCTTCAGTATTTAACTGTAAGGCACACAAAGTAAGTCCATGACAAGCCATGGAAGCTTATCAGTTTACAAGAGGTCACAGAGGATATCAAGTCAATTTTCTAACCTCTCTCTCAATCAAGACGACATAGCCAGAGGATAAACAGAGAGCAGGGATTTCAGCTGGTTCCACCATTTTATTTACCCGCCTTTGTCATCATCGACAGGAGACAAAAGGCTTCAAAAAGAAAATAAATAAACAAAACAACAACATTGCGATGAGTAAAGTACATGACATCAAAGACCTGCAAGAATCAAGGCAGAACTCATGAACACAGCCTGACTACAGGACCAGTTGAGACCTGGGTGCACACATCATAATAAAGGTGCTTTCAGACCACAGCGGAACAGTTCAAGATCCTTATAGCCATTTGAGGAAGTCCAACTTTTGCATGTGTGTGTGTATATTTGCCCTGCTGGTACTGTAGTTGTTTGTAGTACTTAGAACTCCATTTATCAGGTATTTTTTAGCTTCTACTCCAGAGTAGGTCTTTCCTGAACTCATCTGGGACTCTGAAGTGATGTAAGGTGGTGTGATTGCTTCCTACATAAACATACATTGATTAGCAGAGTAAGTTGAAGCCTCTTTCAGCACCTGCTCCATTTAAACTGCACTCCCAATGCAGAAGGTTCTTATTTTCACTGCTGTTTGTTATGCTGTGTGCTATGCAGTGCAAGGTAGGCTGATTTGCTGTACGAGTCATGGTTCCTTCTTTCGCTCTTTCTCCACTATGAAAATTAAATAACTGACAGACCACACACAGGCAAAATAGTTTTGCAGGAATTTTTTCATTGTAAGGCCTGGTCTGGCTCTGCCCCCGTAAGCCGGGCATTATTCTACTCCAGCCCTGGTTGTGTTTGCATTGAACATAGGCCACCTCGTTGTGGGCGGGGATAATCATATTAAAAATGAGCAAATCTTATTTCATTTTATTTGCGAGACAATAATAGACTATATCAAACAAAAAAGAAAAAGTACATCTAATCATCTAGCAGTGTGACGCTTAATACAGGAGGGCAAGATGACAGAGGACTGTAAGCTAATTGTAGCTAATGTTAGCTTCTTGTTGTTTGGCAGCTCGCTACTGTTGTTGCGTAGTTAAACTTGTGTGAAAAAAATATTAGTCACTGCAAACCCCATAAAATTAGTCTCATCTGTGTGGCGTAACCCCTCTGGTCAGAGAACCAATCAATAAGCAACCGTAACTGACATCATATCGGGTCAGCTAGCCTTGCACGGATAGAACCACGGGTCTTGAGGTTCCAGAAAGGGATATTGCATACACACCGAACCAGAGTTTGAACACAGGCCGGGCCAGGCCTTGCAGTACAAAACGTGTTAGGGAGTCCTTCACTGTTTTTGATGGTAAAAACTGTGCATAAGTGACAGAGGCTGACATTCTTGCGTCACACGGTTGCAGAGTTAGAGCACAGGGTCACCTGATAAAACATATCTTTTTCTGCTGCCTATGACCTTTAACCCCATAACCTGGAAATCAGTTGGGACCATTTTTGATCTATGTGGTGTCCCGCTGTGTAGTTTAACGTTTCTATATAGAGCTCGGACAAGAAACTGTCCACAGACAGATGGATGGATAGACGGCATATTGGGATGGGGGTATAAAAAGAAAAGAGGAGAATCTTTTAGGTTGTGTTCAGTGTTGAGAAATACTCCTTGCCCTTCTATTGGTTGTGATCATTCAGCTGTGTATAACAGCTAAAGGAAGTGAAGACCCCACACAATTCCTCTAGCAAAAAAAAAAAAAAAAAACTAAGCCAACTGCAAGTGATTCTTTTCTACTACTACTACTACTACTAAAATAAGTAAATAAATAATAATAATAAAAAAACAAGACAGCCAGGTCTTGAAAAAAATATGTAATTAAATGTAGAAGACTAACTGTCTGAGGAGGCAATCTTTGCATGGTCCAACTGAAAAATAATTCATTAGTATTTGCCAAAGTAACATGGACCTAAAACATACAGGCATACCAAGCATAGACACCAATGCTTGGTGTCTATGATGAAATAGCATTTATCATGGTCTCGGTACCAGGTCAGATAACATGGGTAATTAAACAAGTTAAGCATGATCTTCATGAACTTCTAAACTGACTTCACAGAGCAGAGAAGAACAAAGAACAACTAAAATTGTGCAAAACCACAACTTTGACTTCAGCATTATAATTAAATTTAGCTGGTAGCACTTCTGTGCTTTTATTAAAGTTTTATGTACGTGTTGAAAATCACATTTTATTTAAAGAGCCTACTGGCTCTTTGGTGTTTCGGCTGACTCAGTGTTATATGGGGAGGAAAACAATTTTGTGTGTCTGCCTGTATGTGTAATCTGTATGTAAAACAAGACTGAATTTGTTTAATCCAAACTATATTTCTTATAGAGTTATTATTAAGAAAACACATTTAATTTCAACTGGAGGAATTTAATTTAATTTTTGTTGAAACTCATCATGTGGCCAGTGTCCAAATACACAAAAGTCAGTTCCTGCCAAAAGTCAACCAGAAAAAGAAAATAAAGTTAACCCAAACCTACATGAAAAGTAAGCTGATCCAAATCTTTATGGGTTGTCCAAACTTTGTAGAAAAACACATCTTTGCTCTTTAGCACCACCAGTTAAAAACATAACCTTAAACTTCCTAAAAGAAATAACAGCATTCTCTTTGCTCATAACTAAGGACTAATGTCTTAAATGTTAAGTTTATTAAGAAAAGTCCAGTACAAATACAAAAGTTAACTTCCTCAGCTACACTGTGGTTGTGTTTGATCATCACCTCTCACACAAGCCATGTTTCCATCTAATTGTAACGCAAATTTTGAGCGAACTTTTAAAATGGTGCAAAAAATAAAAAATAAGGGGCATTAGGTGTGTTTCCATCTACTGGTTTGTAGTGAATCAATCAGACTACGCACAGTGTAATTTTGTAAGACATTGACGTTACGAACGGCGGTAGTAAACAGGAAGTAGAGGTTGCAAACTAGGAGGGATTACACATCTCAGGACAATGGAGAGAAGTTTTCAGGAATGTTTCGTTATCGGCCAGTTCTCTTCGTGTTCTGGGTATATCTGGGAATACGCCGTCAGCAGAAACAGCCGATCAATCATGACGTAAATGTTCACTACCTCAGAACGTACTGTTTCCATCTCCCATTTTGCACATATACTCTTTAATGGAACAACCAAAAAACACCTCACACGAGCGTGAAAACTGTTTTGCGAAACTGAGGAAGTTTTTTTTCAAATTTTGCCATTTGCTTCTAATGCAATATTTCAAAATGCACATAAAAAATGTTGATGGAAACATGGTTATTGATGCTTGTTATTAATTTGTGGTGACTACGACACAAGTGAGGGCCCAGAATAAAACCGTAAAGCTGGAACTGAAATTAAATGGTGCCCTTTATGATAAAAATCTAAAATCACAAATCTAAAATAAAATGTGTGAAGGGGAAGATGCAGATTTTCTTTTACAAGCACAGCGGATATTTTAACCAACAATCTCTTACCTCAGGTGATGCGAAGCCTAAATATTCCCAGTCCCATGTTCCACCAGCGAAACTGTTGGCAGGAGACAAAGAGAAACTGTTGTTAGTTTAAGACTGACGGAGAGTCAACACTGCACAGAAAATTATTCATTTCTAAAACTCCAGAATTATATTTCACAATACAGTAGTGTTTAGCAAAATAAAATAAAAAAAAAAACAGTTGAACAAAAGGAGCTTCCTGTCAGTGTGTCACCTGCGTCTGGGGGCTTCAGGCGAGTCATTAGGTGCCACCCCCCTGGCTACCGAGGCCAGGAACTCCTGTCTTTTCTGTTGTACAAGACACGCCGCACGGATGATCTTGTGACGTGGCGTTCGCAGGTATGGTCTGTTAACTTTTTGTGCCAGGTCCTCGGTCACCATCTCCAAGTCCGTCTGGGGACAAAAAGACGGATGACTGACAGACTGCTTTGTGGAACATAGAAGATTTAGGGGGTGTTTATAAAGTTTGGTACAAAATAAAAACATTTTGAAACTAAAAAATTGCCAATGTATTTATTTCTACTGAGATTTGAGTCATGTGTTGACATAAGCAGCTTATATCAGTGAAGCATGTTATTACCAGTCACATAAACTTAAATATACTGTATATAGAATATCAATGTTGTTTTAAGGACATTCTCTGTTCCCTCGGTTCCTGAATGCAACAGCTGGGAATATTTTGTCCAGCCAAAAATATTGAGCTGTCATCGAAGCCTGCGCCCCCACACTAAAACAGAACCAGAAGTGTGAAACTGAAAATAAATAAATAAATCTGAAACTGAAAAAAAGAAGAAAAAAAAAACTATAATTTGACCAGCAGCTTTGAACTTTCTTTTCCAATTACAACCCTTTTCTCGGTTTTAAAATTATTTTTCTGTTTCAAATCTGTTTTTTTCCAGTGCCAAAATTTTTCTTTCAGCTTCAAATACATATTTTTTATTAACTTTATGGCCCCAACGTAGCTCCATATTTTAAACAGACATTTTATTTTGGTCTCTAATATATGATAGCACTCAGTATGCAGTCAAATATCTGCCAGACGCGGAGCACTTCCTCCTTTCAAAGAACCAAAATCAAAACCACCTCGTGACGAGCTTTACATGTACACAAGTCAATAAATTTAAAAACTGACATTTAAGAGGGTGTAAACATAAACACCCTATAAAACAGAAACTGTCTGCTATAAAAATCTGCTTACAAGCTATGTTCTAAAAGAGCAGAAGCAGCCTTATAAGAATAAACTCCTTTACTGCAGGTTTTCTAATTAATAGCAGGAAAGTGTTTACTTTGCCATTAGACCTGCACAGAGGTTCTACACTATCTGAGAAACCCTGATATGACAGGTAAGAACATTTTGTGTGATTTCTGGTGATCATAAATGAAGTAACTAGGATGTTGGACTAAAAGGTGAGACGTGTTGGTATTACTGAGGTGCATGGGGAAGATCATGAGGTACAAAGCTTTAAGCCCGGTTCTCTAATGGCCCGTGTACAGCCGGATGCTGTGAAAATTTGTCTTTCTTCTCAGTAAGTAGAAGTGAAACCTGCATAAGCTCGTAGATTTCCTTCTTTGTGCTTTTCGGCTCCAGAAAGAACCCGTAAGGATAAGAGCACTTGAGGATACGACGAGTTTTAAGCAGTTCTAGGATGGCGTCTTCAATAAATGTGGTGTCAGGCGAGCCTCCATCCCCTAGGAGAGATCAAAAAAAGCTTGTGTCAAAAACCACGCTGCCCTTTAGTTAACCCTTTACATTTTTTATGTATTATATTCAAATTGTATGTATTCTATTTATTTGATGAACAAAACAAGGATTTCTACATATTTTCCATTAAATTCCATACATACACTTCTGGGCTGAAATTTGCTAAAGTTTCTGCAAACCACTGAGCCTTTTTTGACTTATACAATGGTGTTTATTAAGTTTAGTAAAATATAGTAAAGAAACAACCTTAAGCCTGAGCTAGCTTGTCACAGAATCTGACGTTGTATACAAAATAACTTGGGGTTTACGGACTAATCAGAGTGCCGTATTTGGTTTACAGAGGGGCCATTCTCCGTAGACTTACTAACAGTAATCAAAGGGTTGTGTACTGAACAGGAAATCACATTCTTCCAGACAAACTGATAGGAAGATTTTTCTTCCATTTCCTGTTTGAACAAGTTAGCATGTTCAGTCAAAAACTGTCTCCCTGATGCTGTCCTAAAGTATCTGTAACACTTGTAAATTGGAGCTTGTGATGAATCTTGAAAATAACTAAAGTAAAAAAATATTTGTGCTTTTTGAAGCACTTCTTCAGTTGGGCAAAACATGTTATTGTGTATTTTGGCCAGAAGTTTTTAGCTGTTTATGTCTAATATGTTTCATTTTTGACTTTCACTCCCCTGAACTTTCATCAATAAAACGCTGGTTTTCATCCAACTGTTTTACCCGGAGGATTGGATGGAAATTATTCAAAAGGCTGTTACTGCCCACATGTGGTCTACAGGTTCTTAATCAGAAACTAAACATCTTAAATTCAAGGCTTGGTCTGGCAAATGAACCAAAAAGTGAACAACATGATTATTATAAATATCTTTTATAAACAAAAATATGAAAAGCACTCCATTTGTATGAGCAAATTAAAAAAATTCACTTAAATATTTTTAGAAAGTGCAGTATGAGGGGGGAAAAAAGTCTAACACTATACTTTTTTTTTTCGTTTATGGATACTCATCCAGACCTGGAAACTGGTTAAAACCAAATTCCAAACTTTTCCAGACTGCGCAAGAACCCTGAATGATGATGACCTTCTTTAATGAAATGTGTTGTGCAAAGTTTAAACAATAAGAATTTAACAGAACTTACACTAATCTGTAATAGACGATAAGAATGGTTATGGTTATGGTGATAAGAAACTGATCTGTTTGTCAAACCGACTACGGTCAAAATGAGTCTAATTTTTCAATACACCACTTTCTGAAACTTATCTTATCTTTGCTTGGTAAATACTAAAGCTACCCTCTCTGTTGGTAAAACTTTATTTAAAGACCTTTGTGGTTTTCTCTCCTTATTCCTAGTATCAGAGGGCTAGATTAGGTTGCAGCTGAACGTATAATAAAGATAGACTGTTACGGTAGACTGAACACTCACTTTGACTTAGAGCTCGACTGAGTTGCTCCATCTTCTCTTTGGCAGTTTTTAACAAGCGCTGCTCGAGCTGTTTGTGAGAAAGACAGACAATTTTTTTTACTGTTGAGGAAAACAATCTTGGGAATTCTGCCTAACCAAACAATGGACAGGCTTCCAGTAAATAAAGACCAATTAATTAACAGCAGTGGGAGCAGCAGACTTATATTCAAGTAAGATTTATAGACTAAACGCAATGATCAGCTACAACATTATGAACACCTACAGAATTCTAATTAGATCCTCGTGTTGCAGTAGCGTTCCCTTGCCTCTGCAGGCTTGGAGCCCTATTGGCTGGTGCCAGAATGTTACCGTTCATTCTGGTGGACCCTCTGGACTGTTAGGTAGGGTCTTAATAAATTAGGCTTGTTGTTTTACACACTAAACATAAAGACGATAAAGTGAATGTCAGTCTATGAGATGAGGTTTCCTCTGGCTTCTCTGATAGTGATTGTGTATTATGCAAAGCAGACAATACTGAAAGGCAAAGTTTACCTGATAGCTGTGCTCATGGTTCTTGAAGCGTGTGTAGTAGTGCATAAAACGATCAAGTTCCTGAAAGCTCTTGTGCTTCTTCTCTGCCTGCAAAGCCGTGACAAGACACAGTCACAGTCAATAAACTCCTGAGCATGTTGTTCCCTCTTACGAAGTAAAAATACCCTGCATGCGAAAAGTCAATTCAAGTAGCGCCGCAGGAAAAATCCATATTTGTGCTTAGGGAAGAATGCTAGAAAAAATAAAATAAAAAGAAACTGAGAGTGAACTTGTTTTTGTCTTTGATGAAGAGAGTTTACGTTTTACGCTTTCAAGGATTTTTTTTTTTTCCAGAGTGAAGTAGTACTGTTGCCCTGAACTGCCTTTCAATGAAAAGCAAAAAATGTGTGGGTTATTTGGTTTACTAACCTGCTTTTTTGTTTCTGTAAAAGAGAAGGTTAGGAAGAAGTGAGAGTATTTCCAACGAGCTGACAGACAGTAAAAGTGTTGCTGGCTGAATAAATGACTGCCTCTGCTAGTACATTGACTGCTGGGGCAAAATATACCAATTGCAAAAGAAGTGTTTCTATTATCATAACTAAACCAAGGTGCTCCTTAAATAAAAGTCGCCATCTCACAACTGTAACTTACTTTCATTGCAACAGATGGCTGAAAAAACATTTAAAAACTCACTGGGGTTGAAATGAAGAGAATACATTATTATCCGTAATAAATGTGTTGCTGAATTACGCAAAGGCAAACAACAATATTTTAAAAATCAAATTATTTCAGCCAGTAAGAATCCAAAAATATTATGGGAAACGATTAAGTCAGTGACAGGTGAAAGTAACAATAAAACATTTAATAACAATTCACAAATCTCAGTAAATGGACTTCTTATTTCTGATCATGAAAAAATTGCTAACTTTTTTAATGAATATTTTATTTCTTCAGTAAGGACATCATTACCAGGACAAACTAATAGTTTAAAGTTATTTAAATATCCTGACACTTCAAAGCAATTTTCATTTTCTGAAATTTCACAGAGTGATGTTTTGAATACARTCCAATCTCTAAATGGCTCACACGCATTTGACAAATATAAGACAAATATAGATTTCTTGAAAATGCATGCCAACACTTTTTTACCATTGTTTCAACGTTTGCTTAATTTATGTATTGTGCAGTCTATTTTCCCTGATGCCTGGAAGTTTGCTCAGATTACTCCCATTTTTAAATCTGGTGATCCAACAGAAGTTTCAAACTATCGGCTAATTTCTGTTCTTCCTATTTTTTCTAAGTTACTTGAAAAAACATTATTTAATCAACTACTTCAGCATCTAGAAGCTAATAATATGCTAAGCAATAGCCAACAAGGTTTCCGCACGTCAAGGTCAACCATGTCTGCATTAATTTTATTCACTGAACAAATACMTGCTGCTTTGAACAAAGGTCAAGTAACTGGTGCTGTATATATTGATTTTCGTAAAGCGTTTGACACAGTTGATCATTATACTCTCTTATAAAAGTTGATTTCTTTTCAACTTTCATCATCTGCAATACAAATGTTTTCCTCTTATTTGACTGATAGGCGTCAGGTTGTGAAACATGGAAGCTCTGTGTCCGGGTCTCTGCCCTGTTCCGTGGGAGCTCCGCAGGGTAGCATACTGGGCCCATTGCTTTTCCTATTACCGGTATACATAAATGACCTTCCAAAAATATTGAAGTATTCAAATATTTTAATGTATGCTGATGATACTGTTCTTTTGTTGTCTGATTTCAATATTGAATCTATTAATAGTCAGTTACAAACAGATCTTCAGACATTTCATGTTCGGCTTCAAGATAATCTTTTGTCAATTAATSTTAAGAAAACTGTGTGCATGTATTTTTCCTCACCCAGGAGACATTTCAATATAACAACTCAACTCACTTTTTTAAACAAACCCCTTGATATTGTCACTATCTACAAATATCTTGGAATTACTTTGGATTCTCATTTGACTTATCGTGATCATGTACAAGTCTTAACCACTAAGATGAAACAGAAATTATACATTTATTCAAAAATTAGATCCAATCTGACATCTTCTGTTTCCAATATCTATCTTAATGCCATTATACTCTCAACCATGTCGTACTGTTTACCTGTTTGGTCTCTTACAACAAATGAAATCTTAGAACCCATAGTTAGGCTCTACAACAGGGCCTACAAAATTCATAAAAAACTTCCTGGTTGGACTCATCACTGTACAGTTCTTTCATTGTCTGATGCCTTGACTTTTCAGAATTGTGTTTTGCATAGTGGTATTAATTTATATTTTCAGATCTTCCAAGGTGCCAATTATGGAACTCTCTGTGCATTGCTGCCCAAATCAAATTCTAGAAGTGGTCATTCAACTAGATCTGTTACAAAAGGACAACTGATATTACCAACTTTTAAAAACTGTTACAGCCTACATGACATTCCTCAAAACATAAAGTCCATTTCAAAACTACAGCCCTTTAAGAAGAATCTTGTCTGCCATCTGCTGGACACTTTTTGTTGTGCTCATATTTAGACGTCCTATTTTGCAAATGCTGCCTTTTTGAAATTTGGTATGCTTGTTTGTCTTTGTGTCTATGGTGTATAATGATGTGATTGTGATGCTGTAATTCTGAGTGTTTATGTGCTGCAGAACAGGAACCTGTTGTAAAACAGCAATTATGCTGAGTCAGGCTTGATTTTTTATAATCTTTTCCTGTTAAATAAATAAATCAAATCAAATCAAATCAATTCTAAAAGTACAGACCTCTTCTGTCATCTCCTTGGACTGCTCCTCCACCTGCTGGATGACTTCGTACCGAGTGCAGCGATAGTAGCCACCTGTTGATGAGCTGTGTTTTTTCCACTCCTCCAGACAGATCCAGCAGAAGTCATACTTGCACTAGAGGCATAGAAAACACTGTGTATTATTTTACCTACGAATCTGCTTTGGCTACTTGCAACAGCTGAATTGATTTAACTGTTGAACTCTTTGCTTAAAAATATAAGTTAAGTATAAAGGTCTCAAAACTCACCGCCTACATTATTACTTTGATTTTTTTTTTTCAGTATTGATTTCCTTTAAAAGGCGGCATATGGTTTTTAAACCCTTCTTTTTCACATTTAAATCATTCAGTTGGAGTCTATGAAAAGTGGAACTGCAATGCTTTGGTCTAAATTCCTCCTTATTATAACTCCACAACTTGTTTTGACTTAATGAGGCGCTTCCAGAGTGGTCCAATCTATAGAGGGGTTTATAGTTATCTATAGTTAAAGGGGCAATATCATGTAAAATAAACTTTTGAGTTTTAAATCATATTATAATGTTATACTCTCATAAAGAAAACATGCCCAAAGCCTTGCTTTGACTCATTCATGCATGTTTGAGAAATCCTGCGGCGTTTTTAGGCAGCCATGCTGAGGAGCAAAATGACAGGTGGGGACCAGAAAAGGCCCTGGGACGTGTCTTTGAGCCGAACTTCCTCATGGCAGAGCACCCCCCTCCCTCCCTCCTCTCCCCCCTCCCCCCTCCCCACACTATGACTATCTAGCCTATGACTCCTGCAGGCTTTCGGGTGAAACTGAAAATGTCTGTGAGCTCCTAACATTAGTTCTGACTCACTGAAGTTCCTTTCAGATTAAAAATACCTTTGAGGAAATGTATTTTCAGATGCCAAGTAAACTGCATCATGGCAGCCCCCCCCTGCACTGAAATGGGCGAGACAGAAGCGGAAGGCGGTTCTTAAAGAGACAGAGGCCAATTTCAAGGTGTTTCGAAGAGGAAGTGATGAGAAGATAAGTTTATTTTCTATTTAAACATAAAAACAGTGTTTTAATAACAACTAAGGTGACATAGATACTTTATTATGGTATAGTATTTAAATGTATGCCTGAGAAGCACATAATATTGCCAACAAGAGAAGACTTGTCCATCTAGCCTTACAAGTTGGAGCCAGAGACTGACCGAGAGCAGGAGGAGAATTAAGACGATGAAATTGTAGTTGGTAAGTCCATAGTTTATTTAGAACTTCCATTGCAAATTCGGTGACGTAATAGTTCAGAAATCATCATAGAAAATTAAGAAAACTGAGTTGGAAACATATGACCCAAACAAAAAAGTAAAGACAACTAGCCAGCACCAAGACTAAATTCAAATTTTTTGAACTCCTACAGACTCCAAGAATACAACAAAATGCATTTAACAGCTAAAAAAGTGGGTTTTGCGTAATATGTCCCCTTTAACAAATGTAATTTAATATTGGTTTCATTCGAAAGGTCATTTTGGACCACTAGACGACACACAGGCTACAGTTGAGACCAGCAAGTCCCATTGGTACAACAGAGCAACAAAACACACCAGCAACTCAAATCTGCTGTGTATTTGTGTCTATGTGATTCCTCTTGCTGTGCAACAAGTGCTTCTGTGGGTGTCAAGTTAGGCAGAGCAACACAAAAGGGTGACATCTATGTTGTCTTGGAAACACCATGTTTACATGAAAGTTCAGAAAAACCAAGATGAGACTTAAGAATAGTGGAGAGAGGAGAGGGTGGGGTAAAAGATAAGACAGACACACAAAAAGAGAGTGTGTAAAATAGTTTTTTCTGTTAGTGCCTCTAAGTATGACACCAAACCTAAGAGGAGGAGACAACAGTTTCTTGGCAACACTGAATCCCATGTTTCCAGGCAGTAGGGTAAAAGCCATTTCTTACCAGGTAATAACAGGTCAAGGGTTTTAGTCCCCTATGGCCTCGCTGCTTGTAAAAGCTGCTCCATTTCTTCAAAACTGATAGCAATCTCTAGTCAGGCTTTTTTTTAACAAGACAAGACAGCAATATGGCTGTCAGAGACAAAAAATAAGAGATCCTGACAGTGTGATGACACTGGGCTCCTTACATGGTTAACTCTTCAACAATAGGGGTGTTCACTGAGACGTTTTGACCGTCTCCCTCACACTGTTTTTTGTTGTTGATTATTTTTTGGGGAGGAGTTCCATTTACATTTATTATTATTACTATTTTACTTTTATATCCAAAATTTGTTAGAATGTCAACTGTCTATGTGTAATACTTTGTACTTTGTGTAATGTATATGATTCTACTTATACCTAAATTATTTGTATTTCTACCAAAAATAGACAAATAAGCTACAGTACCTTACACTGTTTTTTGTTGTTGATTATTTTTTGGGGAGGAGTTCCATTTACATTTATTATTATTACTATTTTACTTTTATATCCAAAATTTGTTAGAA